CTGCAGCAAACAAAACAAATAAATAATAGAGATTTCAAATTTTACAACTAGATATGTAAAAAACTGTTCATAGATGCCCCCTACGAAGTCAGTTAAATAACAAATGGGATGTCAAATCAAAAATACCAATAAATAATAGTTACAATGTCAAAAAAGTCTAATAATATTAATAACTAATTGGTACCCAACTGTCATCATTTACGTATTCAAGGAACTGTCATTTAAATATTCTTCTATTCTGTAGTAACACTTATCAAGTAATAGTTGTGGTAATACATGATTGAATCGTATTCTACTAAGAGCGGTTAGACACGGCGAATTTTTGCAGCGATTTAGTAGCGAAGCAATCGCTAATCGTCTGCCTTTACACAAACGCGTGATTCTAAGTAGGGATGCAAACGCGATTCAAGCGCGCCACTGCGTCGGTACAAACTCGCGATTGCATCGCTACACTTGGGATTTATAGGCGATTGCATCGATGGAATCGTGCGTTTGTATCGATGCAATCGCGCGTTCCACGAACGCGCGTTTGCGTCATTGCCGCGTAACCACTCTAAGATTTTTATTACGTCTGGGGTTTTAATAAATATTTTAGGTGACATATCGACAACGCAATTTTCGAATGAGGCCACTTATAGAATTAATTCCTTGAACCAATATTTCCTAGTGCGAAATAAGTGTAGCATGAATTTCACATTTGGGTAACTTGAAGCATCATGTGACTATGCACGAAAGAGCAGCAATTATCTAGAATGGACTTGAGAATATTGAACTTGGCTGAGGTTCTTGGCACACTAAGCTTCAAACCCATCTGAAAGTCGTCAAAGTCATTTAGCCCGCATACGACCTACCCTCTTGTCATCAGCAAACAGTAAGATTTCGGAGTGAATGAAACAAGATCGCCTGTTCATGATAAAGGTAAATAAATAAGGTGAGTAACAATAGCCCAAGAATAGACCCCTGCGGCACACCATCAGTTCCATCAACCATGCAAATTAAATGCCTAGCTTCCGTTATCTAGATGTACAGGCAAATTAGCCTTTTATAGATCACCATGGATACGGGTTACCGTCAACTTCTTTAGAAGCGCATTAGACTGAATAATGAACAACGAAGTGAACTGCGTTTAACGCGTACAATCCTGTATATTTTCTGTTATGAAATTCTTGAAGATTACTGAGTTGGAGACAGCAAAGTACTACTTCTTAAAAAACCGCGTTCAAATCCATCGTACGCGCTTTTTTAATGCCGCATAAATATCAGCGTATATTAAGCATTTATAATATTTTTGCAAAAGAACATTTAAGTTTTTATTTATTTTTTTAGATTTATAGATTTGACGATAGTTCTTGATATCTCATTCGCATCGATCCCTATTTAGTATCGATGGTCATTCGCCCTTTTTTGAACATGTGGATCAAACGTCGATTTCCATATTAAGTAATAAACTGAGCGTAAATGTATTCTATAAAAAACAGTAAGTCGAATGCGTTTTCACGGCGTTGTCCTAGAAGCGCTGACCACCGAAACGCTTACACTTCTTCAAATCACGTGGTAGTCATTGGGCGCTTGATCGGGACTGTATGGAGAGTAATCCAATTATTCCCGGCCAAATGACGCGATAAAATCTTGAGTTCGATTGGCCGTCTCTCATGTTCATTCTGGCGACCATCATTAAAAGTTCGAAGCCCATTTCCGTACCATTACAGTTTTGTTCATACACTTCACAGATCTGACGTTGAATTTCAACCGCCTTCACACCTTCAGCACTAAAGTAAAAACGAATTACAGCATTCAAGTCAGTCGGCGGAATTCTCAATCGGCAAAGGTATTTCAAATCTGCGGCGTGCCATCAGTTGTAGATTATTAGATAGGTAGATTGCAGCACTGTAGCGGCTAAATTTTAAAACAGAACTTACTTTAAAAACAATAATACCAAGGAAAGACTTCTGTACTTTGGACTTTGTTATGCACCACAACAAATACGAGCTCCAGCTCCAGTTGATCGTATACGGGAAATACAAGGCAATAATTAGGACGCTTGCTTGAAGATGGATAATTTAGTTCAAACATTACGTAAGTTGTAACAATAGAGTACTCAATCGTTCATTCGTACGACTGCCTCAACAGCAATTGACAGTTACCCTCCGAACGGATATGGTATTATTAGATTTAACCTATTACATCTTGATTTCATTTATTTCCCACCTGTCAAAATTTTTACCTTTACACTTAGGAAAGCTTCTATTAGTTGTTTTGAACTTTACACAAGTAGTCTTCGAAAATTTTACTTTGAATAAGGTGGTTAACGCTCCAGAATATTCAATTTCATTTTGTACCCTTATAATTTAACAATAGTTTGTGTTTGAATAGTGGGATCGTCCATGAGACTTTAATTCGGTTATACCGCTAGGTGGCATCGTTGAATTTTAAATTGATTAGCAAATCCCGGTGTTTAATTTTCCCTTCCGCCTATTCAAAGGGAAGACAGTTTTTTGATGTTCTTATATAGTGAAATAATACAGCGTGACAATAAAAGTAAATACGACTTGAATTTTCAGTAATAACGTGTTCTGTTTATTAATTATTCCGATATTGATTTATAAACTTTCTAAGCAAATCTTGAATGAAAATCTTTGGGGCCCTATAAACATTTCATGTGAAAATCTAATAAGTATCTTTTGAGAAACGGGAGAAAAGGTTTCGTATGAAGACATCTGCAAATCGGGTTACACAAAAGGGTTAGCGCCACGCCAGCACTCTACGTGAGGACGTGAGCCGAAGCGAGACTGCCGTATAAAAACTATTTTAACAATTCCTACTTAAAGTGAAAGTATTTCAACTGAACATTTGCTACCGCTTGCTGCAACTTGTTTTTTACGTATAAATAATTACTTTTCGTTACATGAAATTTTTAATCACAATTTTAATTTGGTACCGTAAACTGTGGTAGACGAACGTTTTGACCCATGGGTTGACCTTCCACCTCTCAAGCAAAGGGTCGTGGGTTCAAATTCGGGCTTGCACCTCTGAGTTTTCGGAATATATGTGCGAAATTTTATTTGAAATTTACCATAAGCTTTTCGGTGAAGGAAAACAATGTGAGGAAACCTGCATAAATCTGGAAAGCAATTTAATGATATGTGTGAAATTCTCTGATCGCAATGGGGACCCATTGCGATGGAATTGCGTGGGAACTATGACTCAAACCCTCCCATTGTAAGAAGAAGTTTGAGCCCAATAGTGGAACATATATGTATAACCTATCAATTAATAAATAAATTAATAAAATTAAATATTAAACAACAGTACACACGTTGTTCGGATTAAGCAACTAAAGCCAGTAATTATGTAAATTGGACACAACGACGGTACCACAAATGCCCAGATCCGAAACAATATAGAAAAATTAGTTTCCCACATTGACCAGCTGCGAATCGAACCTGGGACCTCAGAGACGGCAACACCATGAAAACAGGTGTGCAAGCCGCTCGACCACGGAGGTCACTGAATGTCAGTGTAGCACTGACCGTTGTACTCGTCGCCATTTGTATTATTCCCTGTGTGTGTCTAATACCTAAGGTGTTACTGGCTGGATAACGCACCAGTACGTTAAGTACGTGTTCACTCTCAATGGTGGCTCTCACGTGACAGCTTACCCCCATCACCCGTGTGCCCAAGACAGCGTCATATCTATTAACTATAGATGTACAAACACTACAGTAAGGATGATTATCACTAGTATCAGGTTTCTTACCACGGTAAGACTTCTTTTTATTTTCCCGATATTTCGGAACGGTTGCACGCTCCATGGTCACGGGTTGACTGGACGGCGGCAGATGACAGCTTTATGAGCAGACATATCTGTCTACCCTCTTGCGCTGTCGACGACTACCTTCATCGCGATTTGTTGTGGCGTTACCATTGTCGCTCACTTTTTTCACACAAACCACACTCACTGTATCCACACGCGAAACTGAACTCGAGGTGTTTTTGTTTTTATTACTGCACGCACTAAGGACCGGATTCCATGCACTGGGCAGTTTAAAACCATCATCACGGTTAAATGTTTTGTACTTCGTGATCTCGATGGCTTCTCGTACCAACCGTGGTATGTAGTGACGTTCTGTCGAGAGTACCTGGGGGCTATGCAACTCGATCCAGTGGTTAGTGTCAGTCTGTGTGAGATGTTGTGCTATAGCCGACTTCTGTGCATCATTGTTTTTTACTGCTCGGGTGTGTTCCTTCATACGATCGACAATTGTTCGTTTGGTCTGACCGATATACGAGCTCCCACAACTGCAGTTCACTTTATAGACACCCGGTGTTTGTAAAGGAAGGTGGTCTTTTGGTGAACGTAACATTTTTCCTATTTTGGTTAAGGGGGTGAAAATAGTTTTTATGGAAAACTTCCTTAGCGACCTGGCTATTTTATCTGTTACCCCTTGTACATAGGGCAGAAAAACTGGTAGTCTCTGTACGTCAATTTGCTTCTTCCTTTTGTGTATTGGTTTAAATGTTTTTATTTTGTATCCATTCTGTCGCAAAACCGTCTTAACGTGCTCCTGTTCCTGTGGTAGGTGGTGTGAATCACAAAGATCATAAGCTCTATTGGTTAATGACCTGACGACCGAATGTAGGTGTTTTGGGTGATGATGTGAAGTGGCATGTAAATATTTGTCCGTGTGAGTTGGTTTTCTGTACACAGAATGACCGAGTGAACCGTCTTGTCGGACTTTGACCAATACATCAAAAAATGCAAGCGCGCGATTTTTCTCAATTTCTGATACTAGTGATAATCATTTAGTGAATAACCACGAAAGTCTTAAAATCTCTACAGTAAGGATGTTTGACCACCATGAGATTCAATTAGTTTTATATTTTGTCGAATCCTGCCGGATTGAAGGATTTTTTCTAAATGTTCGTATAAATAATTAAATTAGATTTGGTAAAAAGAAAACTTCATAATATAAATAGACAATATTATTGTATAAATTTTTGTATACATATTAATAATTATAATAATTTTAGTTTTAACCGAATTTACTAAATTACACAGACTAGATATTTTTTACTAAAACATTTGGCAGTTTTGTTTCTCAACTTCCTGAGTCTTGTGAACAACCTGAAAACAATATAATTTGATTAGTTCTAATAAAAATAGAAACTAACAACTACTGTCGTTTAATATGTTCGGCCATACATAACATTAAAAATTAAAAAAAGAATTACCATGATCGGGGCAGTAATGTCGTCGCCGCCTTCGCCTGCGCTGCCCATCCATGGCATCTACGCACGTTTCTTCTACGAGGAATGACAAATATTTGTATATTTATTTTACTGAATATTATGATGTTTTTACTAGTACTTGTAACATGTAATAGGTATGCAAAAATTCCGTTTAAATCCAGTATAAAAATCTTTGGCAGGCATTGACGTCTCTGTTTTACTAGTAAATACACTCAGCGCTAGTTATGTCATAATCGCACTATTTTTTTAATCGCATTTAGAGAAATTCGTAAGATCTACTGACTCGCTCTGCAGCTCAGTAAGTAAGAGCGGTAGCTGCGGTGAGGCAATAGACGTTTGTTGGTCTAGGGATCGAAAGAATTAATCTTTATTGTATTTGTTCGATCTTTGCATCAATCCAACTAATATTATGAATTTAAAAAATCACTCTTTTGGGTTTTCACGCCTAAGGCGTCATCCTACTTGGACGCGAATACGCGATAATCGCGCGAATTGACGATGCGAAAAGCAGGTGTCCTAATAGATAGTCGCACGGACCTGTGTTCGCACGTTCATGAGTACGGTCGCGGAGCCCGCTTGCGATAACGCGACGCGATTATCAATTTGGACACCTGTTCCGACATCAATATGTTTGATCGTGCGCTCGTACGAACTTACATCGCGCGACTATAATGTTTGCGTTCACTTGCGACTGTCGCGTAATCGCGTTCAGTTAGGACACACTTAAACCAATATTCATGAATTTTGGTATAGACATAGATTGGACCTAGAAGGACATAGGCGACGTTTTATTACAAAAATATATCTTGAAGGGGTGAAATAGAGCATTAAAGTATATACAGAGGACCAATAAATCTATAAAAATTAGTATAATACAGTAGGCTACTAGAAGTACTTGTTCTACGCAGACGAAGTCGCGGACACCAGTTAGTAATAAATATTTTGATGTTACACTGCAGAGTATTAGAATTGTACGTGAAGGCGTATTTATTTAAATAATAATTTCTTAGTTACAAATGGGAAATTAAGAATTATAATTAAGATAATGTACAGGTAAGGTAAAAAAGACAATAAAAGCTTAACTACTGGAAAGTAAAACTAGGATTTTTAAATTATATAAATAAAATTGGGTCCCCGCGGCAAAGTGCCCAAGGTGCTGGCAGCGTTCCCCCTTTGTATTGTTATGCTAATGCGTTGGGCAAGGTAGCTGCCGGCCCTAGGTATATATTATATTCTTAACTTAAAATATCTCACCATCGCAGCAAGGCGGGTGCGATGGCGGTGCAGCGTCGTCGTCTTGTCGGGCGAGCGCACGCAGTTGCAGCGTATACGCACGCGACCCATTCGTCGCACCCGGGCCACCCGCAAAAGTAGCATACGGGCTTATCTCGTAAACATCTGCTTAATGTTGTATTATGTTAAATTGAAATTTTTACAGGGGGTCTTTTCCCGTTCTCCGACATCCATCCGAAACAATTACCGTCAAATAAGTAATACTCGACCAAGTTAAAAGACAACGTCAAGTATGAAGCTTCATTCACATCATGCCTTTTTTAATTTAGGCGAGTAATTACTACTTAATTGACATTGTTTCGGAACGGGAGTAGACCCCCAAGCAGATAATGCAGATAATAATGAGATATAGTTTATGCAAGCTTAAACGTGCCCTTGGATTGAAAAGCAAATATGAGGCACTACAAGAAAATGCAGAATATAAAAGAATTGCGAGTGCTACCTATATCGACACGCGCATCCTTACATTGATATATCCCAACTACCTTATAGCGACAGTTTTACATCCAATCTATCTGTAATTAGATATTTGACGATTGTCGAAATTTAAATATCACAAGCATTTACCTGGTGGGTCAGGGGGCAGCTTCGGTGCTTGATGCGGTGGCGCCCTGTAAGTTCCGCAGCCGGGCTTCTCCGCACTGGTCATCACTCGACCCACCGCGTCGTCGCTTCTACGAGTATATAATATGTTTCAAACTAATCTATTTCTCTTTTATCCCTAGGAATAGAGTCCTTTTTTGTCTAACAGGTATTGTCTATAATTACGACACACCGCCATGCTGAACGCATCAAGGATCCAGGTAATACGCGTAACAATTTACCTGTCAATGACACTTAATAGGAATGCTCATGGATTCTTGATAAGAAAGGCTTCTTTTCAACAAATTTTCTAAATTTGTTACTGCTACTTGAATGGGGCAGATTGTGTCTACATTTTTTAAATATTTTTTTTTATGTAATTTCTATGTAAGAGACTAAATTTATGAGGCAAACTATCATCAGATCCATTTTAATCAAAAATGACTCTAGTTTGTTGCCCCACTCACATAAACGCCCGCGGAGCGAGATTTCATTACAAGTTTCACTACGTCGTAAAACACGTCGAGAACCTTGTTCATTGTCTGAAACATTCCTCTGTAATTATCACACTAACCTTTACTACAGTCATATGAAATAAATAATAGATTTCGAATATTATTACTTAATTTTACGTCATTGTAGGTACTCGTATAAGGTTCTTTTACATTTAAAAAAGTAGGAAGTTTATATAACTTTAATTTACTTTCGGTTTAAAAATATTGAATAAGTGGATCTGGAAATCGCTTAGACTAATATTTCAATTATAATGTCACTGGAGTTTGCAGCGTTATTCGATCAAAACGAAATGAATCGTGTAATAAATGCGGGTGCGTCATTTGCTTTCAGCTGTCGTGGAGTGAAAAGGGTCGAATTTGATTGCCGACGAGCGGCTTGTGTCAGCTCCCTGTCACCTGCAGAACAACTGTTAACGAGCGTCAAACGAATAGGTAGCTTCCTCTTTTTATTTTAATTTACCTCTGAAATGCTAAACAAGCAAAGCCCCAGTATGACTGAGAATTTTTACAGGAAAACGACGACGACGTAATCTGTGTACATGTACATATATGGCAAGTTTTAATTTGGACTGGCTCTAAAAACTCGTATCAACACTAAGCTCGATCACTTTAGACCATTAGAGGTACCCCGATATTATAGACCAATCCCCGTAGCAAGCCGCCACGATAAAACTATTATATCCACAACTCGAGTGATAAAACCGCCGTGTTTAAATTTTATCACAATAACGAACATGGCGAACCACGTAAAAATTTAACGTGACAAACGCGATAAAAAGAAATAATAAAAGAAATAAGTTGTTAGATACATATTACTTATTGGAAAAAGGTAATGGGGAATATTTTTAATAAAGTTCTGTATATGAGAACTATTTGAAATACTTACGTAATAACTAGTGTAATGTAAAATTATCTGGTGAGTGTTCTATATTATGTTTCAACGAAAAATTGGAGAAAATAAGAGCGAGTTCTTAGAAAAATACAAAATAAGCCGAGATGGTTTTTCTCCGACATTTTTGAGAAATAGTTTATGTGTGGCTTTTGACACTAGTGCGGTATCTTACCAATTCAAAATTTTAATAATTGCTACACAGCTTTATCAATGTCATAAATATGTCACGGGGAAGTTTATCATGCGATATAACACCATGCTACGGCTGCTGATTTTAGAATTACGACGTAATAGTAAAGCAGGTCAGTGGATAGTCTCACACGTCGGCATTATCGGTAATGAGAAGGTAGATTCACTTGCTAAGCGAGCTGGTTGCAGAGGCGATATGATATTGTGCTATATTACACCGATTGTTTATGATCAGAGTTCCGATGATAAATTATCTGGTATAAAATAATTCAACCTTAGTCACTGGAAATGTCATTGCATTGACCTTTTTCGTTGAGTATTACTCCTACTTCTCATTGTGTATTGTACTGTAAATATATTGGCCATTCCTTCGTCGAACGAAGGCAAGGTACTGTACAAACTATAGTCGGTGTTCTGAATCTATGACGGATCTTTTAAATAAGTAGCACTAAGGAGCGACAAACGGAGTGAGTATAGCAAAATATTATATCTACAACATATTAATATTTAAAGTACTTTCCCTCCAAACTCTCGAATCAACTTTATTTCATAGGTAAGCAAATTACATTTGAAATCGTCTAATCGTTAAATTCTACTGCTCACTCGTAAGGCAGATTACAAATTGCTCCTCCAAGTAACGGGACGAACAAGCCGTGTACCTGGTGGTAAGCGACTCATCCCAAGAACAGAGTCCGATGTGATAGCGAAAAGAGAATAAGTACGTTACGAGAATAATTTCATTATTCAAACTAAGGCCTATGTAAAGATGTTTTGAGAATTTATATATCTTGTTTCGTTTCGGAAATTGTAAAATGGAACAACAGTCGATCTGACATCCACAGCGAAGAAGCACGAACGAAATGTATTATGTCAGGAGAACAAGTAGTCTTGCATATAGACCTTTGTTCCACGGATGAGTCGATATATACGTATAACAGCAGCAGTGCTACACAGAGCTTTAAGAGTTTATACAACCTCAAATGGCTTTGGTTGATTCCGCATAACATTGAAAGCGTTGAATCAATCACTTTAAAAAAAATATATAGTAAAATTGAGGATATACACTGATCTACTATACGGTGTGAAAACAAAATTCCTAAAACTTTTCACGATAGAAAAAAAACCACAAACTTACCTCAAAATTTTACTAGAAAACCGCTGTATTCAATAGGTACATATACCAACGTTTTTTTTTTAAATATTAACTGAACTAATTAGAACACGTATAGCATACGATATACATTTTTCAAATGGCTTTAACTTCGTTTGTAAAAAAACTAAAATTCTGAAGTAAGGGCTTGGGTCGAGCGGCAGGGACTCTTCCCGCTCGACCCAAGCATAATGAACCGTATTAGTACAGGAAAAATTTGAATTCGGCTGAGGTACTATCGACTCTTAAATTGCAAGACCTTAAATGCTTAAAGTAAGCTAATTTTAATAAAAGAAAACATTCTTTTATTTTTCTTGGTATGCATAACTGCATCCACAGATTTTTTAAAGCTTACTTTACATGGACGTATTTAATTGTAAGATTCAATGTTTATTGGAGAGATTTCATCCTTATCATTAGTTCTATCGATTAGTACAGTAAAATAGAGTGTTCATTTTTTGCGTTTCTAACCGACTTCAAAAAAGGTAGGTTCTCAATTCGACTGAATGTTTTTTTGTGTTACGCGATAACTAGGGCATTTTTTGGTTAACTCCGTAGTAGTGAATTGTTAGATCGGGTTGAGATTATGATTGGAAGATACCGCATGCAAAAACTTTTTTATGTGCCACTAACAACATACAACGTGTCGTACAATGAACCGTTGTTTTGTATGTGCAGGTATTATAATAAGGTTACCACGGAGTATATTCCACCAATCTTTAAAATCATTTATAGCGTCTATGAGATCTGAAAAATAGGTGCGTTCATTTTGCTTATTTTTGTACATTTTTAATTGTTGTTTTGCTCAAACTTTTTAATTTTATAAACGTGCGTTTTCATTTTTAAATGGAATATTTAACTAAATCTGTTTCATTTCAATGTTGTGCACAATTGTCATCTGTTCCAAGCTAAAGAGTGTTGTTCTCGCAGACCACATAAATATTGTTGTAATATTAAATTAATATTAATTATTGTACATACTTTGCGAACTATTATTGTGTCTAAATAGGTAAATAAAATAAAATAAAAAATTGTAGACCAATTTTTTTTTTTCCAAAGAAAGAGAGTACTTCTGTAGTGGCCGTTCCCAGGTGTCCAGGTTTCCACGCTTTCTAACTACAATAGCCAGAATAGTCATCTTAGAGGATAGAAACCATATGGAAACTTTTTTTTCATGCAGATTTTGACATATATTTTGACAATTTACCTTAGAGAATGGAAAATACATAGTCTAATCAATTTACCCCGTCTTACGCTAAGAACTCACGGGGCGATTTTCACCCGCGCTCGCCGTGATTGCGTGATCGCGGCCTCCGTAGAATGTAGATATGTATGTAAAATTTAGTAGTAAATTTGAAGAAAATATTACACTTCTAAGGGTAGCAATCTAGGGGATGAATGACTTTTGAGGTTCGTTTTTTATTAGTTGATCCGATTGGTACACACACCAAAGAATTGGCCCCTAGTCCCCGGCAGTCCTGCTCTTCCTAGTCACGGTAGCGGCTTTGGAAACAGGGCATGGGGTGCGGTGAATCCCCAGGGGAGACCCGGCTACCATCAACGACGACCTGGCAACCTACAACACGCGCACATTGAGGACCGACGCAAAGCTCACTGAATTGGAAGAAACTATTAGTATGTTACTCTGGGATATCATTGGGCTACCTGAAGTCCGAAGAGAGGGGGAGGACTCGATAATCCTTAATTCCGGCAACTTACTTGTATTACCGGGAGGGCAACCAACAGTCCCTTGGCGGTATCAGGTTTATTGTCCACAAGCCCCTTGTTAACAACGTGATTTCCATTGGAAGTGTGTCGACCAGGGTGGCATACCTGATATCAGAATATCAAAACGATATTCGTTGAATGTCATTCAGGTTTATGCTCCGACCTCGACACACCCAGATGACGAAGTGGAGGCTATGTATGAGAAGACCTCAAAAGCCATGCATAGCTACAAAACCCACTACACGGTTGTGATGGGGGACTTCAATGCAAAGTTGGAAAAGCGTTGCGGTGATGAGCTGAGAGTGGGGCAATTTGGGGTTGGACAACGGAACGCCGGAGGCCGGATGTTGGTTGATTTCATGGAAAAGGAGAACCTCTATATGATGAACACTTTTTTCAGGAAATCTCCAACTCGAAAATGGACCTGGATGAGTCCGGTCGGTAAAGTAAAAAATGAGATTGACTTTATCATGTCAACGAAAAAGCATATATTCAATGATGTCTCTGTCATCAACACCGTTAAAACAGGAAGTGATCACCGATTGGTACGAGGCACATTGAATATCAATATCCGGCTGGAAAGAACTCGACTGATAGAGTCTACATTCCGACCAATACCTGCACAACTCCAAAACCCCGAATAGCTTTCAGCTCGAACTTCAAATCCGCTTCGAAGCCCTCGAAAACTGCAAAGATGTGGATGATCTAAACAACATGGCGGTGGATACTGTCTATACGCTGGTGTTCGCGAGAGATCTGTCTATTGGGCAAAGCCAACTGACGAAGCTAAAAACTGATGACGGTAGCGTCAACTCATCTAAACCTGAAATCCTGAGGGAGATAGAGAGTTTCTATCGGCAGCTATACTCAACGAAAGCACCTGTTGAAAGCGAGGTTAAAGACCCCAGAGCCAAGCTTACCCGACATTATACCGAAGATATCCCGGACGTCAGCCTGTATGAGATCAGTGTGGCTCTCAAACAACTCAAGAACAACGAAGCGGCGGGCGATGATGGAATCACTACAGAACTTCTGAAAGCGCGCGGCAAGCCGATACTTAAAATCCTCCAAAAGCTTTTCAATTCTGTCATCGTCGAAGGTCAAACGCCGAAGGCAGGGGGCAGAAGCGAGGTCGTTCTGTTCTTCAAAAATGATGATAAAACACTCTTGAAGAACTATCGGCCAATCTCGCTTCTGAGCCATATCTATAAGTTGTTTTCGAGAGTTATCACGAATCATCTCCCTCGCAGGTTTGACGACTTCCAACCTCCCGAACAAGCCGGTTTCTGAAAGGGTTTTAGCACCATAGACCACATCCATAAGCTGCGGCAGGTTATACAGAAGACCGATGAGTATAACCGGCCACTTTGTTTAGCGTTTGTGAACTATGAGAAGGCCTTTGATTCGATCGAGACCTGGGCGGTGCTGCAGTCTCTCCAAAGGTGCCAAATAGACTACAGGTATATAGAGGTGTTAAGGTACTTATACAAAAACGCCACTATGTCAGTCTGATTACAGGATCAGAGCTCTAATCCTATCCAACTGCAACGAGACGTGAGACAGGGAGATATGATATCTCCTA